CTCAGCTAGACCTCCAGTCGGACCAGTGTACGGAGTAGGCACAGGGAGTGGGGAGGCAGTCGGTAACTGTGGCTGTGACTGGACAGACGGAGGACACTCTAAGGCGAGAGGAGGACATTGACTAAGAACCTGCTGAAGGAGCGGAACGAAGTACGGCCGTGGCCGTGCAGCAACTCTCGAACCAGCAGAAGCTCTAGCGGCAGGGTCCTCAGCACCAGCAGAAGCTCCACCCTCCGGGTCCTCCACTCCAGCAGCAGCAGCAGCACCTCCAGCAGCAGCACCACCAGCAGCAGCAGCACCTCCAGCACCAGGGTCTTCAGTACGAGCAGCACCTCCAGCAGCACCGCCAGCAGCAGCAACACCTCCAGCACCAGGGTCCGCAGCACCCGCAGCAGCGTCAACTCCGGGGACCCCAGCACCAGCAGCTCCACTCCGGAGACTGATGTGCCGAGCGTACCACTCTCGAAGCTGTGGGGAAGAGGGCGGCTCCCGCCGTGGTGGGGAAACACGAGTACCAACTCCAGTAGCACCACGAGCCCGAGACGCACCCCGCCGGAGGCTGCAGTACCGTGAGTACCACTCACGGAGCTGCTGCGAAGAGGGAGGTCCTCCAGGCGCCTCACAGTCAACTGCAACACAACCAGGCTCAGTACCCCCAGACTCAGCAACGCCAGGCTTAGTACCCTTAGACCCAGCACCCCCAGGCTCAGCACCCCCTGTCTCAGTACCTCCAGACTCAGCACCCCCAGGCTCAGTACCTCCAGTCTCAACACCCCCAGGCTCAGCACCCCCAGGCTCCGCCCGCTCAGGCTCCGCACGCTCAGGCTTCGCACGCTCAGGCTCAGCACCTCTAGCAGGACGCGAGTCGACAGCTACCTCGGCGGGCTCAACCGGGTCTACCTGAGAGACACCTGAGGGAGCGGCACCCTGAGGGGGGAGGGGGTCTACCACTGCAGCACCTGGCGCGAGGAAGAGAGGCGGGGGAGGGAGCGGGGCAGTGCGGTAGGGGAAGAGGCGGTAGAAGGGCACGGACTCGTCAAAAGTGACGTCCTGAGAGGGGAAGACGCGGTGCGAGGCGGGGTGGTAAAACTGCCAGCCAGACGCATCCGGGGCAAAGCCAAGAAAGACACAGGGAGCAGTGCGGGAGGAGAGCTTGTCCGCAGACGTGTCGCGAACAAAAGCTCGGGATCCCCAGACACGGAAGCGTGACGCATCGCCAACCTCCCCCATCCACAGCAGTGTGGGCGAGGTCTCCGGAGCGGAGACACGGGGCCAGAGGTTGAGCTGATGCGCAGCGTACCGGACCGCAAACGGCCACAGAAAGTGGGGGGCAGCCGCGTGGACTAAGGAGGTACGAGCGACCTCCATGACCAAGCCAATGCGGCGCTCAGCAACCCCATTCTGCTGTGGAGAGGCCGGAAGCGTGAACGACTGGCGAATGCCGTGCTCAGCACAGTAGGCTGCCAAGAGGTCGGAGGAGAACTCGCCACCTCTGTCAGAGTGCAAGCGCAGGACAGGAAACTCCGAGCGAAAACGCTCTCGCAGCTGAAGACGTGCTCTGCTGATCCAAGGGATCAGAACATCAGGGACTTCACCCTTGGTGCGCAAGGGGAAGACCGTGGTGTAGCGCGAGTAGTCGTCAACGACGATCAAGAAGTACCTCTCCTGGCCCTGACCACGGACGCGGGCTGGGCCCCACACGTCCATGTGGAGCGTCTGCAAAGGAGCAGTCGTCGGGGGGAACGAGGAGGAGTGAGGGGCAGCGCGCTGCCGCCCCTCGACACAGGGAAGACAAGGAGGAGCAAGGGAGGGTGGGAGGGGAGGGAGTACCCGAGGAAGACCAGAGACAAGGTACCGGGCGTGCATGCCCCGAAGGCGTTGCACTGACGGGTGACCAAGTCGGTGGTGCCAGAGGACAGTCTTGTGCGCTAGAGAGCGACACGAGCAGGGGGCAGAGAGCTGACCTGACGCAGACGCAGACGTAGACACCGCTACCTGAGGGGACTCAGTGGTCAGTGTGTACAGGTCCGACCCCGGCTGCCGAGTGAAGGTAGCCAGGTGACGGCCCGTCCGAGCACACGTGCAGTGTGTCACGCGCTCGTAGGCAGGGGTGAACTGGTGAACACCCCCATCCTAAAGCGCACAACCCGCCACCAAGTTCGTAGAGAACGAGGGGAGATGAAGACCTGACAGTGTGCCCGACGGGACAGCAGGACAAGGAAGGAGGGTGGAGGAGGTCGCAATAACCGGACCCCCAGAGGGGTCAGCGAGCGAGACAGCGACTGGTCGAGCAAGGGGCTCAAGAGCAGTGCGGTCACGAAAGAAACAGCGCGAAGCGCGTGAGTCTAGAGTGAAGGTGTGCAGCGCCTCAGTGGACTCAGTAGTACCTGGGGTGGCGGACACACAAGCACCTAGAGCAGTAGCCTCACCTGTACCTGGGGTAGCAGACACGCAAGCACCTAGGGCGGCAGCCTCACTCGTGCGGATGCCTGGGTCAGGCGGAACACTCAGGTACTGGTCCTCCTCTCCACTAATAGTCAATGCATACATTGCTTTGAGAATAACATCAAAATCAAGAGCATAGATATCGATATCCTTCTTGAGGAGATCAGCCCACTGAGGGAGCTCAGGAGCGTCAGGAAACTGAGCACGCCAAGCATCATCTAGGCGAGAGAAGCAGCGCTGCGCAGTGTGCGCCCTCCCGCACGTCTGTCCCTTGCGGCGACCAATGCGGATGACGTACGTGTAGCTAAGGCTACCCCCCCCACCCCCGTGCTGTAAGTACCACTCACGAAGCTCCTGGGAGGACTGAGGGTGCTGCGCACTCTGGCCAGTGCCAGAGCCTCCACGACCACCACCGCCGCCTCCACCACGACCACCACCGCCCCTGCCGCCGCCACGTCCACTGCCGCCACCACCACCGCCCCCACCCCGGCCACCGCCGCCGCCGCTGCCTCCACCACCCCCACCGCTGCCACTAGCCCCTCCAGCCCCGCCACCGCCCCTGCCGCTGCCACCAACCCCACCACCGCCTCCCCCGCCGTCACCCCCACCGCCCTTGCCTCCCCTGCCCTTGCCGCTGCGGCGCCCGCTGGGAGCGGACGCAGAGCCGACCTGCTCAGCACCAAGAAGGTCGACAGCAGCTGCAGAGGCGACAGAAGGGAGGAGGGGGGAGGGGGAACACCCCTCGAAGAAAGGGGTGCGGGGGTCGCCACGAGAGGCACCTACAGCTACAATACTCTTCTCAGCTGCAAGTAGTTCCTTCTCTAGGGCGGCAATGGTGAGCTCAGTGGGGCAGCGAGCTAGGAAGTGGTCCTTGACTGTACGCAGAGTGTCAGGGAGGCGGGTGACTAGGTGGTAGAGAGTGAGCCAGAGCGGGGGAGGGTTGGAGGCAAGAAACTCAGCGGGCATGGCTGCACGGAAGCGGGCATCACTAGTACGGAGGTGAGTGATGAAATCGAGAATCACTTTGTATGTGATACACTCGACTACAAAATCCAGAGAGCTAAGTCTGACGTCGGATGCCTACCAACCAGACCTTACCACAAAAAGTACGCGCGTGGGCAAAAGGGCTACACCACAGGCTGTTAGCGACGTAGCCCGCGACTCAGCCTCTTAGCCCGCGATTCAGCCGCCCAGGCCGCGATCTAGCCGCCCAGCCGCGATTTATCCGCCCAGCCCGCGATCTAGCCGCCCAGCCCGCGATCTAGCCGCCTACGCCTCGATCTAGCCGCCTAGCCCGCATCTTAGCCGCTTAGCCAGCAATTTAGCCGCCCCGCCCGCGATCTAGCTGCAAAGCAGCGATCTTGCTGACCAACCGGTGATTTAGCGGCTTAGCCTATGAACCGCAGGTAGCAGCGCGCAGCTAGGCAGCGGAACCCGCGCCGTAACAGCGAAATCCGCACCGCAGCAGCGAAAATGGCGCCGTAGCAGCGAAATCCACGCCGTAGCAGCGAAATTCGCGCCGTGGCAGCGAAATCTCCGTCGTAGCAGTGACATCCACGCCTAGGCAGCAAAACCCGCGCTGTAGCAGCGACATCTGCGCCGTAGCAGCAAAATCCGCGCCGTAGCAGTGAAATCCCCGCCGTAGCAGCGAAGCCCGCGCCGTAGCGTCAAAGTGCGCGCCGTAGCAGCGAAGTGCGCGCCGTAGCAGCGAAGTGCGCGCCGTAGCAGCGAAGTGCACGCCGTAGCAGCGAAGTGCGCGCCGTAGCAGCGAAGTGCACGCCGTAGCAGCGAAGTCCGGGCAAAGAGCAGTGAAGTCCGCCATGTAACAGTGAAACCCGCGCCGTAGCAACGAAATCCGCGCCGCGGCGGAGGGATCAGCGCCCAGGCAACTATACTCGCGCGTAGGAGCGCCATCACAGCGAAGCTCGCGCCTAGGCAGCAACTACCACGTGTAGGGAGGGCCACAAAGCGAGACCCGCGCCTAGGTACCAACACTTGCAGGTAGGAGCGTCCAGCATATAGGGGAGTCTCCGTGCGCCAGCGACGCCCAACACCTTCGACTCACCCAGACTGCGAACCTTATATCGAAGGCGGGAGGCGCCCCTCCAGCGCTCCCCGCAAACAGCTTACGCCATGAACAACGATCCAGACCCCCCAGACCGGGGGAGGAAGATCATCGCGAGGATTGGCCACAAGAGACCCAGGGAGGCAACATCGAGTATGCAATATCCACAACTCTGTCGCCTCCACCACGAGGATGCACTCTGCCTTTTTGACAAGCCCAGCAAGCGACAAAGGTATGGACCCTTCTCGACAGGGGGGGGGGATAGAGGAACCACCCAAAGACACTCTCGGCGGCTTCGTAGGCGGCAGCGACACCATCTCCACCCGGGACCTGGACGTGACGGACGAGGGCGAGTGCGGTCATGGGGTGCACAAGCAGGGTACCGGTGATGACGCGGCAATGGCTGCATAGGAGGCACACCGCCGGCGACTGCAGGAGTCTCATGATAGGCGGCGGAGGGCCCTGGGAAATCCTTTGGCACACCCAGCCCTCACAGCTCCGAGCGGGCCTCATCTGGCCCAAAGGCAGGAACAGAGACGGAGAGCCCGGGCGGAAGTGCAGCAATGGAGTCCAGCGGGGACCCAACCCTCGAGGCAGGAGGGGGGGCAGCAAAACTGGCTGTTGGGGGAGGCCCGGAAGCCACAAGCAAGGGAGCAGCAGGTGCGGCGGGCGGGAGGGCAGCAGGAGCTGCCGGCAAGAGGGGAGCAGCAGCTGCTGGCGAGAGGGGAGCAGGAGCTGCCGGCGAGAGGGGAGCAGGAGCTGCCGGCGAGAGGGCAGCAAGAGCCGCAGGCAAGAGGGCGGCAGGCACGGTCGGCAGGCGAGCAGCAGGTACTGCCGAAGGGAGAGCAGCAGGAGCGGCCGGCGGGAGGGCAGCTGGAGCTGCCGGCGGGGGGGCAGCAGGAGCTGCAGGCAGGAGGGCAGCAGGAGGTGCCAGTGGGAGGGCAGCAGGAGGTGCCAGCAGGAGGGCAGCAGGAGGTGCCAGCGGGAGGGCAGCAGGAGGCGCCGGCGAGAGGGCAGCAGGAGGTGCTGGCGAGAGGGCAGCAGGAGGTGCCGGCGAGAGGGCAGCAGGAGGTGCCGGCGAGAGGGCAGCAGTTGCTGCCGGCTGGGGGGCAGCAAATAGTAGAAGTGGAGATGGCCGAGCTACAGCCAGAGTCACAGCAGGACCAATCGGGAAACCAGGCATGGCCACAGGCAGGAGGGCAGCAGGGGCCGCCCCGGGGAGAGCAGCTTGAGCTGCCAAGGGAAGAGTAGCAGAAGCCGCTGGGGGTGGGGCAGCTGCCGGCAAGGGAGCAGCAAGTGGTGGATGTGGAGATGGCCGAGCTACTGCCAGAGGTGCAGCAGGACCAATCAGGGAACCAGGTCCGGCTGCAGGCAGGAGGGCAGTAGGAGCTGCCGGGGAAGGAGCAGCAGGAGCTGCCAACAGGAGGGCAGCTGGGGCTGTCGGGGGGAGGGCAGCAGGAGCTGTCGGAGGGGGAGCGGCGGGAGCTGCCGGCGCGGGGGCAGCTGGAGGTCGCTAGTGCGGACTCTACAAGCCAAGCGAAGAGAACCCGGGCACGGGGCCGAGGCGGGAGACGACACGCCCGTAAGACGCAAGGCCGAACTGGAAGCGGAGCCGCCGCCCAGCAGGCGGAGGGGCAGCCGGGGGCGACCGAGACACCCCCGGGAGCTCCGCGGGTGGGGGGGCAGCCCTGGGTGCCCGGGGCGCCCCAAGGAGAGCAGCAGCCAGGGGGGCAGCCGGGGGTGCCCGGGGCACCCCAGAGAGTGCAGCAGGCAGGGGGGCAGCCGGGGTTACCCGGGGCACCCCAGGGAGTGCTGCAGGCAGGAGGGCAGCCGAGGGTGCCCGGAGCACCCCAGGGAGTGCAGCAGGCAGGGGGGCAGCCGGGGGTGCCCGGGGCACCCCAGGGAGTGCAGCAGGCAGGAGGGCAGCTGAGGGTGCCCGGGGCACCCCAGGGAGCCCAGCAGGCAGGGGGGCAGCCGCGGGTGCCCGGGGCTCCCCAGGGAGTGCAGCAGGTAGGAGGGCAGCTGAGGGTGCCCGGGGCACCCCAGGGAGAGCAGCAGGCAGGAGGGCAGCCGAGGGTGCCCGGGGCACCCCAGGGAGTGCAGCAGGCAGGAGGGCAGCCGAGGGTGCCCGGGGCACCCCAGGGAGTGCAGCAGGCAGGAGGGCAGCAGGAGGTGCCCGGGGAACCCCAGGAAGTGCAGCAGGCAGGAGGGCAGCCGAGGGTACCCGGAGCACCCCAGGGAGTGCAGCAGGCAGGGGGGCAGCCGAGGGTGCCCGGGGCACCCCAGGGAGTGCAGCAGGCAGGGGGGCAGCCGGGGGTGCCCGGGGCTCCCCAGGGAGTGCAGCAGGCAGGAGGGCAGCTGAGGGTGCCCGGGGCACCCCAGGGAGCGCAGCAGGCAGAAGGGCAGCCGAGGGTGCCCGGGGCACCCCAGGGAGTGCAGCAGGCAGGAGGGCAGCCGAGGGTACCCGGAGCACCCGAGGGAGTGCAGCAGGCAGGGGGGCAGCCGAGGGTGCCCGGGGCACCCCAGGTAGTGCAGCAGGCAGGGGGGCAGCCGGGGGTGCCCGGGGCTCCCCAGGGAGTGCAGCAGGCAGGAGGGCAGCCGAGGGTGCCCGGGGCACCCCAGGGAGCGCAGCAGGCAGGAGGGCAGCCGAGGGTGCCCGGGGCACCCCAGGGAGTGCAGCAGGCAGGAGGGCAGCCGAGGGTGCCCGGGGCACCCCAGGGAGTGCAGCAGGCAGGAGGGCAGCAGGGGGTGCCCGGGGCACCCCAGGGAGTGCATCAAGCAGGAGGGCAGCCGAGGGTACCCGGAGCACCCCAGGGAGTGCAGCAGGCAGGAGGGCAGCCGAGGGTGCCCGGGGCACCCCAGGGAGTGCAGCAGGCAGGGGGGCAGCTGGGGGTGCCCGGGGCACCCCAGGGAGTGCAGCAGGCAGGAGGGCAGCCGAGGGTGCCCGGGGCACCCCAGGGAGTGCAGCAGGCAGGGGGGCAGCTGGGGGTGCCCGGGGCACCCCAGGGAGTGCAGCAGGAAGGGGTACAGCTGGGGGTGCCCGGGGCACCCCAGGGAGTGCAGCAGGCAGGAGGGCAGCCGAGGGTGCCCGGGGCACCCCAGGGAGCGCAGCAGGCACCCCAGGGAGTGCAGCAGGCAGAAGGGCAGCCGAGGGTGCCCGGGGCACCCCAGGGAGTGCAGCAGGCAGGAGGGCAGCCGGGGGTGCCCGGGGCACCCCAGGGAGTGCAGCAGGCAGGGGGGCAACCGGGGGTGCCCGGGGCACCCCAGGGGGTGCAGCAGGCAGGAGGGCAGCCGGGGGTGCCCGGAGCACCCCAGGGAGTGCAGCAGGCAGGAGGGCAGCCGAGGGTGCCCGGGGCACCCCAGGGAGTGCAGTGGGCAGGTGGGGAGCCAGGGGTGCCCGGAGCACCCCAGGGAGTGCAGCAGGCAGGAAGGCAGCCGGGGGTGCCCGGGGCATCCCAGGGAGTGCAGCAGGCAGGAGGGCAGCCGAGGGTTCCTGGGGCACCCCAGGGAGTGCAGCAGGCAGGAGGGCAGCCGAGGGTGCCCGGGGCACCCCAGGGAGTGCAGCAGGTAGGAGGGCAACCGAGGATGCCTGGAGCACCCCAGGGAGAGCAGCAGGCTGGGGGGCAGCCGGGGGTGACCGGAGCACCCCAGGGGGAGCAGCAGCTAGGGGGGCAGCCGGGGGTGACCGGAGCACCCCAGGGGGAGCAGCAGCTAGGGGGGCAGCCGGGGGTGACCCGAGCACCCCAGGGCGAGCAGCAGGCAGGGGAGCAGCCGGGGGTGACCGGAGCACCCCAGGGAGTGCAGCTGGCAGAAGGGCAGCCGATGGTGCCTGGGGAACCCCAGGGAGTGCAGCAGGCAGGAGGGCAGCCGAGGGTACCCTGAGCACCCCAGGGAGAGCAGCAGGCAGGGGGGCAGCCGGGGGTGACCGGGGCACCCCAGGGAGCGCAGCAGCCAGGGGGGCAGCCGAGGGTTCCCTGGGCACCCCAAGGAGCGCAGCAAGCAGGGGGGCGATCGATGGACGACCAGGAGCAATAGTTGGAGGAGTGGTGTCAACATCTGGAGCTTGATACTCCCATGGCGATTGCAGAGGAGTTAGAGGCGGACGAAGAACCTCCCATGCCGCCTTCCCCATGCCCCTGCTTCCCGTGCGACACGTGTTTCCACACTTTCGCTACGCGGGGGGCCGCTGCGAACCACATGAGGGTATGCCGAGCGGCTGAGGCGGAGAGGCGTGCACAGGCTCTCGGCTCGATTCCGTCTCTAGTGGAGACCGACACGCAGGAGCGATTGACGCCGCGGGAATTTGGGGACGAGGCGTGGGCTGGGGTTACGTCATGGGAATGGGAAACATTTTTCAGTGTGGAGGCGGTTGGAGGGAGGACAGTTTGCCGGATCCCACAGCGGGCCAGGTCGGGGGTCTTAGACGCGCTCTGTTGCATCCTTGAACGCTTGAAGAGCCAGCCGGGAGATGAAGCCGCTACCCTCCTACTCTTGGCGTTTCCGCGCCTCATCCTAGCCATGCCTCCCAAGCCAGGCATAGGTCATAAGGCGCTGATCACAGAGCGGTTGGGTGCGTTCTGGGAGGGGAGCTGGCGGGAGCTGTTCGACTCTGCCATGGCGGCAGCGCGGCCAGCAGTTCGCCCACTTTCCTACACTCGCTCTGACCAGGACCCGGATGCCATCCGCCTGTCACGGTGCCGATCTCGGTGCAAAGTGGGGGAGTGGTGCCGAGGATTGGCCTGCCTTACAGTAGGGGAGTTGGCTCGACCGTCTGAGGTCATGGTGCAGTCGCTGCGAGAGAAGCACCCGGCTAGCGCAGGCAAGGTACCACAGTGGGTCCGCGATTTCACCATCGATACCGCTCAGCGGCCTTCACTCACGACCGACATCCTGGCCAGAGCTATCCATACAGCCGCTCGAGCCTCAGCAGCAGGGCCATCGGGGTGGGTCACAGAGCATCTGCGCGACACCTTCCTCACTGAACCTACCTGCCTTTCCCACCTGTTGGAAGTGTTCAACCAATGGGTGGCGGGACAGGTCCCCGAGCGGGCTCGGCCGTGGCTCGCCGCATCCAACCTAGTCGGGCTTTCCAAGCCTAACGGCGACGTCCGGCCGGTGGCGATCGGGGAGGTGCTTCCTCGTATCCTTGCTCGTGCTCTCTGCATCTCGCTCCGCCCTGCGATGGTTTCCTACTTCCTGCCGTGCAACCAGCTGGGAGCGGGCACGAGGGTCGGGGCGGAGATTCTCACTCATTCTTTCCGGTCAACGTTGGCCACTCACCCCGACTGGTGTGCGCTACAGATAGACGTCGCAAACGCCTTCAATTCGTTTCACCGTCATGTGATGTTTGATGGGCTGCGAGAGTCGCCTTTCTCAGAGATGATCCCATTCTTGCGTGTCTTTTATGGGACACCTAGCGACCTGTACCTCCGAGCAGGCCCTTTTGTACAGAGCCTCGAGTCAGCACGGGGATCGAGGCAAGGGGACCCGCTCGGCCCTTTTCTTTTCGCATTCACGCAGCAGCAGGTGATGGAGCCGGTTACTAGGGAGTTCAAGGGCCTGCTTTTTCTCAGCTATGCAGACGATACCTATATTTTGGGGCCAGCGACTAGGATTCTGGAGGCTTTTGGGGTGCTGCGGGAGCGGTTGGAGTGGGTGGGGCTGGAGGTGCAGGCGCACAAGTGCCGGTTTTGGGAGCGCGAGGGCAAGGAGGTGGAGCGGGCACTGCCATTGGGGATGCAGCGGGTGGATGAGGGGCTTACTGTGGTGGGCGTGCCTATTGGAGAGGAGGTTTGGGAGGCGGTCCGGCTACGGGAGCGGCTTCGACAGTTGGCGCCACTGCCATGGCTCCCCTTGCTCGACCACCCCCAGATGGCTTCACACCTCCTCGCTATTGCAGTTTCAGCGCGGCCGATGTACCTCGCCCGGACTATGCCGCCGCGTCCGGAGGTGGTTGAGGCTTTTAGGGACTGGGACAGCTGTTTAGATGATTGCTTTGAGCGGCTTTTCCCACCTGGCACTTGGGAGCAGGACCCCGACCGGTCTAGGCGCGCATGCATACAGCTGCATCTCCCTATGCGTCTCGGAGGGTTCGGGATCCGGGCGGCGGCCTCTTTGAGCCCACTGTCCTATGTTTGTGGGTGGGCGCAGGCCGCGCGTGACATTGCACAGTTAGGGGTGGCGGGTGAGGAGGCGATGTTTGCAGAGTACCTCACCACTTCGACAGGGGCAGAGTTTCTTGACCCGTGGTTTGTCAAGGCTCTCGAGCAGCTGCTAGCGGCTATCTGCCACGAGATACAGGGCTTACCTCTGTGTGTAGCGGCCCCTCCTGTTTGGCTTTTCCAGGCGTGTCAGCGGCAGTTAGCTGTAGAGGAGCTCCAGGCACTGCGCCGCTTGGCTCGTGACGATGCTACCTTGGCCCGTTTCACATCCCTTCAGGGCCCGGGGGCAGGTGCATGGGTTTCGACGGTTCTGGCTCACTCAGATCTCACATTCACTGCGGCTGAGTGGGGCATTGCTGCTGCTATACGGCTCGGCCTCCCAATTCAGCAGCTGCAGGTGGCGGGGAGGTGTGTTTGTGGCACAACGTATTTTGACCCAGCAGACCCACACCATGCCCTGAGATGCAGGCACCAGCATGGTCCTTCTCGGGTGCATGATGAGGTGAAGTTTGCGGTGGCGAAGATCTCTAAGGCGTCGGGTGGGGTGGTGACATTGGAGGATAGTGTGGTGCTGCAAGGGAAGCGGGTTGATGTGGCGGTGCGACGTCCAATGGCTGGAGAGGCTCACGCCCTAGAGATCAGCGTCGCGGACCCGCTATCGCTGTCTCCATCACTGCTGGGACAGTGCGGGCGTCAAATAGGTGTGGCGGCAAGGGAATGGGAGCGTCGCAAAACGAGTGATTACGCACCTCTGCTTGCACGCAACCGGGGCGTGCAGTTCACCCCTTTGATAGTTGAGACGTGGGGGTGTCTCGGCGGTCGTTTTCAGCGGTGGCTTCGTCAGCAGGGGGATGTGCATGTGGGGCTAGCCGTGTCGCGGGGGGCTTGTCGAGAGGACGACTCTGTGCTTTCGGCTTATCTTTTAGGGTCAGTGAAGGCGCTCATCGGGGTGGCGTTACAACGTGCGCAAGCTCGTGTCATCCTGCTTCCAGCGGCGTCTTCCATGGGGTGGATTAACGTAGATTTGGCGGATCGGGAGAGGGACGATGTCGATGTGGAAGGCGGGGCTCTCTGGGTGGAGGCCCCGTACATGGTCGATACGTTGATGTAATTGAGGGGGGGGGGGGATGGGGTGTCTTGACTGGGCGTTTTGATTGGGTATCTTGAGGGGGGGTTTTATGTGTGTTGCATTTGGGTTCTTTTTGGGAGTTTCATTTTCCTTCTCCCTTTCTTTCTCCATTCCCTTTCTTTTTCAGACACACATGGTGTGAATGACTGTTCTGTCTTCAAAACCCATAGGCTGTTGTATGTCAAAAAAAAAAAAAAAAAAAAAAATCCAGAGAGCTCCTATCCTTTGTCCTAAGAACACTAGCAAGCGCATAAACGACTATATCTCGCTCGATACTTAGGCGATCGAGGTGATCTACGTCTCGTTGGAAAGCTAAAAAGGTGGTCTACTGATTAAAGCAGTTCCCAGTTCCTGCGAAGAAGAGGAGAGTCCTTTACAACAGTGGTATCAGAGCTGGTCGGAGGAGTCTACACGCGCGACAAGGAGCAAGCATGATGACGTCAAGCGAGGCCTCCTGCACTTCCTTGGATGGTGTTGTTGTAAATTTCGGCGAACCGTGGGCAACCGCGACAATGTTCAACACGTCAGCGGTACCAATTTTCACGGGACAAAACTACTCCGCGTGGAAGTTTAAGTTCCAAGTGCTCATGATGGAGCGGGGACTTTGGGGTTTCTTCGATGGAACGGAGAAGAAGCCGGACAATGAGAGCGACATCTCGGCATGGAAGAAGAAGGACCAAAAGGCGTTCACTATGTTGATTTCGCGCATCGGCATCAATCTCGTGAGCTCAGTGCGCATGTGCATCAAGCTCGAAGCGTCGGCGCATGAAGCGTGGAAGCGGCTCGAGACCATCCACGTGAACACGACTCTCCACGGCAAGATCCTAGCCCTGAATGCATTCTACACGGTGAAGATGCGCGCGGGCGAATCGATGCACGGGTATGCGACTCGTGTGGAGGAACTCGGGGAAACGTTCATGGACCTTGGTGGAACGGTCACGGAGGATTGGATTTTGACATTGCTATGCAGCCTTCCGGAAGAGTGGTCGACGGTGATTACGACACTCGATAGCGTGCAAGACACTTGGACGAAGGAAATGGTGGTCGGTCGGCTTCTCCATGAAGAATCTGTCAAAGATAGTAGCAGTACGGCCTAGGCTTAGTAGCCTAGGCCACAGTAGGACTAGAACGAGGAGGCGCCAAGTACGAGCTAGGATTGTGTGCAGGAATAGAATTGAGAAGGAATGATGGAACTAGCAAGCAGCAGGATACAAATAACAAACCCTAAGGGGCTGTACTCACTATTGAGTGTCCCACTGCAGGCTACACAAACAACATATTCTGACACACCCCCATAGCCAAAGTGGGATGTAATCAGCACAGTAAGCAAAGCAGAACAAGCTCAGGGCGGATCACAATGTCACCACACATTCTGAGCACAATTACAAGAAGCAACAGTTTAAAGTTCACAATTTTGAGCAAAGCTAGTGGTAGTCACAGCGGGCAAGTGAGGAGGAGGAGGGACTGTGAGAGGAGAGAAGATGGGAGATGACGGCTGAAGCTGCAGACACACGGGCAACAGGAGCGGCTGGCACAGTGGCTATCGGGACAGCGCCCCGGACTACTGGAGTAACTGGCTCACGGGCTACGAGGAGCTACAGGAGCAACAAACCCACGGGCGACAGGCGCAGCAGGCTCTCTGGGCTACCAGGACAGTGCGCCCTGGACTACAGGTGCTGCGGACGACAAGACAGCAGCCTCCACTGAACCTCCCCAAACAGTCCCACACCCCCCTACACACACCCCCAGTTTCACCCCTAGCTCCACTCCCACATCACCCCCCTAGCTCCACTCCCCACAGCTCCCACACCTCCACCCCCCTCAGCGGCAGCTGCAGCAGTGGGAGATGAAAAAGGAGGAGGGAAGAACCCACACCTCTCACCCCCATGCTTGCCACCCCACACCCCCACCACCGCGGAACGCACGGCGGAATGGGAGCAATGGGCAGCACGGGGGGGGGGGGGGGGGACGGGACGGGCTTCCGCAGGGCGGCTCGCACGGGTCCTGGGGCGGCTGCTACAGGCACTGGCTGCTCCAGGGGCGGCTGCCGCAGGTGCGGGCTGCTCCAGGGGCGGCTGCTGCAGTGGCGGGCGGCTCCAGGGGCGGCCGCTGCAGGTGAGAGGTAGGACGAGGTGGGGGGGGGGAGGGGGGGGGGGGGGAAACGCACGGCCCCCAGGGCGCCCCGAGGGGCGACGAGAAAGGGAGCCGCGCGCCCCCCCCCCCCCCCCCCCCCCGGGGCGCCGCGACGGGCACCAGAGAGGGCGCCGCGACGGGCCCCCATAGCCGCCTCGACGGGCGACGGGGAGGACGCCGCGCGGGCCCCCTGAAGTCGCCTCGACGGGCGACGAGGAGGGCCGCGCACGGCCCCCGAAGTCGCCTCGACGGGCGACGGGGAGGGCGCCGCGCACGGCCCCCGTGGTCGCCACGACGGGCGACTGGTGGGGAGGCCGCGCGGGCCCCCAAGGTCGCCTCGACGGGCGACGGGAGGGGAGGCCGCGCGGGTCCCCGAGGTCGCCTCGACGGGCGACGGGGGGGGAGGCCGCGCGGGTCCCCGAGAGCGCCTCGACGGGCGCTTCGACGCGAGGGGACCGCGGAGGCCCCCCCAAGGGCACCACGACGGGCGCCACGGAAGGGAAACCCGCCAAGCGCCCCGAGCGGGCGGCGGGCAGAAATTAGGGTTTCGCCGCCGCGCACCACGTGGCGCGCGGCGGACAGTACGGCAGCGGAAGCGGGTGGTGGGCCCATACACAGGAAGGCGACAGACATGCCGCCTACCATGTCAAAGATAGTAGCAGTACGGCCTAGGCTTAGAAGCCTAGGCCACAGTAGGACTAGAATGAGGAGGCGCCAAGTACGAGCTAGGATTGTGTGCAGGAATAGATTTGAGAAGGAATGATGGAACTAGCAAGCAGCAGGATACAAATAACAAACCCTAAGGGGCTGTACGCACTATTGAATGCCCCACTGCAGGCTACACAAACAACATATTCTGACAGAATCGCGTCGCTGACAATTTGCTAATGAGAGCGAGGGTGCCGCCATGTTCTCCGGAGGGAGTTCCGGAGGAAAGTCCAAGTGGAACAAGGGCGTGACGAAGAAATCGTCCGTAGGAAGCGAGTGCGGCAAGGGAAACGCATCGAATGGCGCGAGCAAGTGCCACTGTTGCGGCAAAGAGGGACACTTTTGGCGTGAGTGTTGAAAGCGGCCAAGCGATTGGACTTCATCGATGGCGCGGGACCAAGAGGGCAACGCACACACGGCATCCGGCGAGGCGGATGATTCAAAGGAGTCGCTCGTGTTATTGGCCGGCAACGGGAACAACACTCCAAGCGATGCGTGGTTCCTTGATACCGGCGCAACACAACACATGACGCACTCGGCGTCGCTCCTCAACAACATTGGTGCTCCGGGAGATGTCATGAGCATCGTGTTTGGAAACAACAAGTCGCTACTGGTGGTTGGAGTTGGGAGTACACGCCTCATCGTTGATAGCGGACCGGTGGACATCACGAACATGCTTCACGTCCCGGGATTGAAGGTGAACCTTCTATCCGTCCCGCAACTTGCGAAGAAGGGCGTGATCGCCACCATCGATGGTGCGAAGATGAACCTCTTTTGGAAGGGGGAGCAATTCGTGCAAGGTGTTCTCAACGGAGATCTCTACCAGCTCAAGACGCACCCAAGAGCGGCTTCATCCAACGTGGTGCAAGGGTCCAAGGCAACTCTAAAGGCGTGGCATAATCGGCTTGCGCACGCCAACTACGGATCGGTCAAGGAGTTGGCCAACAAAGGACTTGCGAAGGGAGTCGACGTGATCGCCAGCGATGATGAGAAGGGCGTGTGCGTGGCGTGTGTAGAAGGAAAAATGGCTCGCAAGCCATTCGGTAGCCGAACGTCACCCCTCGCTAAGGACCCGCTTGCACTTGTTCACATGGACGTGTGTAGACCGATGCGGTGCGCATCAAAGGGAGGAGCGCGGTTCCTCTTGGTGATGCTCGACGACGCGACACGGATGTGTTGGACCCGAATCTTGAAGGCTAAGGGCGATGCGGACAAGGCGATTCAAGAGTGGGCGCTCGATGTTTGCGACGACGACAAGAAGCGGATCAAGTGTATTCGCACCGACGGTGGCGGCGAATTCGTGAACGCGGAGCTTGAGAAATGGATGAAGAGCAAGGGCATAAAGCACGATGTCACAACGCCCTACACACCCCAACAAAATGGAGCGGTGGAGCGGCTTAATCGCACGTTGGTGGAGGCTGTTCGCTCACTTCTTCAACACTCCAAGCTTGGGAACGAGTGGTGGGGTGAGGCAAGTTCGTTAGTGGCGTGGATTCGCAACTGTTTGCCGACAAAGGTGCTCCCGGGAACGACTCCGTTCGAAGCATGGAGCGGAACAAAGCCGAACCTATCCCGCCTTCGCACCTTTGGGTGCCTTTGCTACTACCATGTACCGGATCCACTTTGCCACAAGTTGCAACCGAAGGCTCGTGCGGCGATCTTCCTGGGAGTTGCGCCAAACGAGCGTGCATGGCGAGTGTGGGACATGGGTGAAAAGCATGTCGTCACGTCTCGGGACGTGGTCTTTCACGAAGACAAGTTCCCGTCGAAGGAGAAACCCACTCAACAACTCACCTTCATCCTTCCGCCACGAGAGAAGGTTGAAGAGAGTGAGACTCCACCTCAAGTGGAGAAGGAAGCCGATAGAGGGAGAGAGAACAACGAGGAGAGTGTTGATGATGTCATGGAGGTGTCACCAACCGAGGCGGCAACTACCTCTACAGAGAATAGGCGATTATGGGAGAGCCTAGGCACAGAGTTGTAAAGCGGATGCTAGTAAACCGAATACTGACTCGTGGAAACTAAACAATGAAGCCAACTTGGTATGCAGTAACGGAAAGAAAGAGCTTCATTAATTGATAGATTACAACAGAAACAACATGAACCTTATAGAGAAGCATAGTGACGTGTGCAAGAACGTTCTACGAGAACGTTGTTCATGAAGAACGTTGTTCATGAAGAACGTTGTTCAAGGAGAATGTGCAAGCACCTACTCTAGAATGCGGTTCCAGGTTGGCACCGCCAGGTGAAAATACCATCAGGTGAAAATACCGTTAGGTGTATTTCTACATGCCCAGGAGT